CAACGTACTTGCAACGGTGTCAGTTTAAGAGGAGTAGGCAAAGCGCATTGCGGTCAATGTAGTCGCGATCTCAACTAAACTTGTGTTGAAAGCAACTGAAGCTTTAGCATTGTCTCCAGGGTAAGTCAAGGTGTTTTGCGTAATATAGAGAACTTCAAGTACACGCGTAGGGACCATACATTTACAATTTGATCTTTAACTCCGGCTTATAGGATGAGGTGCGGGATAGTTTACAATAGGACACACAATCCAGCTGCATAAAAGCACAACACGCTCACGGCTAACTGAAAATAATTGCTGCGTTATATTCGTAGAAGAATTCCTGGACGAATCTTTTGTCGGTTGGTCCTCCTATACTTGAAAAGTTAGGACCAATAAGTGTTAGTTGCGAGCCATATGTCAAAACTCCATGAAAATGCATGCTGCATAGCTTGCACCTTAGGACTTAAGATATTATTGGATTCATTTTATTTAAAACGTCGGTGTGCGTGACCGTTGGGATGCAGCTTAGGCAACGATCTGTGCGTCACCTTGCGACCCAGAGGGACACCTTGCCACAACTTGCTAAGTAATGGTTGTTGCTGAGGCCATGGGTTTTTGGTGCTGCGTTAGGATGTGGCATAGCGTCGGTTCCTGTGGCCATGGACATCGTTTGTAACCATGCAATGGGCTTTCACGGCATGCCCTAGGACCAGCTGCAAACGTTTGCCAAGTGATCACTATTCGTCAAATGGTTTTCAACGTGTATTTCAGTGGCATAAAACAGTTTCTAATGATCCAGCAACAGTCAGCCTAGCTAACTCTTGCCACCGCTTGCACAGTGCGACCACTTTTCCATGAATCGTTGACATTGCATAGAGAATCCTAGATATATGAAAGTTGTACTGCGACTGGCGCGGTATAGCTTAGACTGTGTCTGGTTTACGGTACTTTGAAATAAGCGTTCCATTGCAAATGTCTGACCGGCGAAAGGGACCCGGTTTTTCCTAGGTATCCAAAGCTAAGTCGACCGACGAAAAACGGACCATCATCTGGTACTGGCTGAGCTATCATCTACTGCCAGCTGATTTGAAACATGAGCTCATTACCTGGATTACAAGAATAAATCACCCTGCTGACGATACCACCTCTTTTCCTAATAAAGTATCCTCACCGCCTTTTAGGATGTCGCTGGAACGGAGCCTAAAAACAAATAAATATTTAGGTTTGTCTTGACGGCATCGAAGCACATTAAAGCAGGTATGATAAAAAGGGTTAAGCTCGCCCCGCAATCACATTGCCACAAGTCACTCCTCTGGAATTTATGATTTACCAGGTATCCTTTTCCCCTGTGGATGACAGCTGGTGCTGTTCGCGATTGACTTAAATTTTGCACGACAGCCTTGCCGTTCCTCCGTAGTGTTTGGACAATGGGGTACGGTGACTTTTCATTTTGCGATAACATTTTGATATTCCAGTTACCCGGAGCTTTGCTGACGGACACCCATAGGAGCCGTTAATGGACAAAATGACTTTTTTGTGACAATAACTGACCTGTGGAGTAACTCTGATCTTCTTCTGTGGATAAACTATACATGTATGCGACTTGAACAAAGAGCTTGAGCCCCCTCAGTTTGCTAATTCCACACATTTTATACATGAACACATAATAAAAATATTCTCATCTATGAGAGGCACGCCCATCAATGGAAAGAATATAATGAGAACATGCGGTGAACCCTGCAGTGGAATGAAGGAATCTTACCTTCGCTTGGGACGGGACGAATTTAGCCATGAAGCTCAACCCGCACCCACCCCCTTCACATGTCCGGTGTAGGTGCCTGGACACGAAGTCTCCAGGCCGGAACCGGTATGCCACAACAGCATAGCCAAATTCCATTACTACGAAATCCATACTCTCCTGCTCCGTGCTTCACCCGACCCTCCAGGGCATTAAAAGTTCTACATTACTATTCAAAAGCATCGATAGCAGTGTCCAAGGAGGTTCTAGGCTTTCGCCTGGCAAGCGTTCCCACTGTAAAAGCCACAACTGTCTGTGGCGGATGTGACTCGCCACAGAAAACTTCAGTTCACAAACTCACACCGGCAGGCTAAACAAGCCGGATCTCACTATGGTTCGCTATCGTTTATAAGTACACTAAAAGGATACTTCCCTCTGTGTACGTTCCTTCATCAGTTCAAGTGTATTGCGCTATTACTACAGCTCTGTACCACGGATACATGCACACAGCATGTTGCCACCCTATTAACGATTTTGTGCCTGACCAGCATATCTATTATTTCGGTAGCTTCTATGCAAAGCAACATGCCTGTTGCGAAGCACAATAGCCTGTAAAGTAGTGATTATGACTGATTTGGTGTGCGTCGGTTAACTAGAGGCCAAACTCCTTAGCTACCTATTTATTTATTTATGTAAGGCATCCGAAGTTTCTTCAGGTGTCGACCGGGGACTTAACTGGACGGATGATGAGGGTGTTTCAGAGGTAAATTGACGGCTGTCCATTGTGTTTGCAAACAGCAAGATGCTGTCCTCTGTCCTTTTTACAAAAATGGCGGTATGAGACCGTCAGTCATCGACAGGCCGGTCAGTCTGATTATTGTCGTGGGCTAGCTGCTTGAAATCCGGTGTGATATTCGTTGGAAGGTAAGCTAAAAATATTTAATTTACTCAGCAGCGCAGAACGCAGGTTCCGAAAGGTGACGTGGACCAATGGTCACGTATTGCACGTGCTTTTCCTCGAATTCTAGAAAGGATTTGACTAGTAACCCGCTTGAGGCTACCATAAGTGAAGAACCCTTACGGTGTATCTGGGCGTGCCCTTAATTGTGGATCGACATTCTTGCAGGGAAAGGAACAACGTTTAAGATTCCTCAGCG